GCATCTCCCATTTCTCTGGGTTACTTAACCGCTCTCTGAGGGCCATGGGATCGTAAATATGCATGCCTTTATGTTGTGCGTGGGACAGTGCGACAGAGCAAAAAGCACTGATCCTTGAAATGGTTACAGTGTGGCTTTGCGTTTCTCCTCTCTTTCCTCTCCCTCTCATTGTTTCTCCTTTCTCTCACTCTTTCTCTATTAGCATCCGCACTTATTAGTCAGAATACAAATGTATTCTGCCGTTTGTTATCTCTCCTGAGTGGCTCGATTAAAATCAAATGAGCCTGAAGAGAGCAGGGCCGGGGAAATAATTATTTGGAAAAGCAAATGCGGTAAATACGCGAGCATTTAAACCTGGCAGAGACAGACAGAGATGCAGGGAAGCTAAGTACACTCACAGCTACAGAATTATGTATGATTCAGTGTGCCCATAGGCAGCTTGGGCAAGGCTCGCTTCTGCCCGACTGTGTCAGATCTAGAAGACATGTGCGTGTGTTCGTGCGGCGGTGGCGGTGACGAGTCCAGCGGGGCTGGGTGTTAAGTGCATGGCAGATTGTTGGCACGCAAGCCTTAGAGATTAGCAGATTTCATGAAATATTCATATTTTGTTGACTGTGCTTTATTACCTTCTTCTTGGAGAGAGATGGGTTTCGGTTGAAGCTTTGATTTTGATGTGAAAATGAAATAGTCCTTGTTTCTGTAATTATAGGTAATTGCTTTTATGGTTCCTTGAGCTTTATGGATGTTATAATCTAAAATTAAAGTATAAAATCGATGTAGAGCCCCATTTTGAGCTCACTTGATTTCTGTTTTTCTGAGTAAAACAGATTTATTGAGAAAATGGTGGACTGATTATGATTTCATACATGAATACATATATGAATATAAATGTATGTCACGCTGGTTTTTGAGTTTTGTTTCTTGTTTAGGTTTTCTTGTCTTTTATTCTGTATTTTCTTGTCTTGGTTCCTGACTTGTCATGTGTTTCCCTGACCCTGTCATGTGATCCTGCCATGTGGTCATTTTGTTCATGTGTCTTGTTCTCAATAGGTGCGTTCGACTTCATGCAGCACTGCGCAGATCGATCGCAATCTGACTTGAAGCAGTGCATGCCGGTTAGTAATTTTGTCCGACTTGAGACGGCGCCAACGCCACGTCACTGTCACGTGTGGCATCAAAGCACCGCGAGAGCATTTCGAGAGCTGACTCAGCCGGCGCAGTTTCTCCAGAGTGGCTGCAGGAGCATTGATTACAACACAGCCATTTCACGATTGGCCAGATTCACCGCATGACAACTATCACGTGTGTTTCGGGTTTATTGTAACCTTTTCAATTCCAATAATAGCCACAAATCTGTTTTTAGAACAGTAAAAGCTTTTTTACTGTAGTCACAATGTTATATTGAGTCACGTTTATTATAAAACACTGATGAAAGCATATATTCCCCCACTTTATTAGTATTTAAATAGTATATATTTACGTTGAACTTTATTCTTGAACAGATGGCGATGTATTAAGCAGTATATAGTCAGTATATATCTGTTGCTCATGAAAACGTTTCTGAAACGTCTGTATATTTGACAAATAGTATGCAAACACCACGCGAGCATCACTAACTGGAACAGAAAGTGTCCGGCTTGGCGACTCCGTTTTCAACTCCGCCCCCGACTGCAAGCGGCTACTCTTGTTGACTGCCGTCTGTAGCCGTGCTTCAAGTCGAACGCACCTATTGGTTACTTGGTTGTATGTATCACATTCTCATTAATTGAATTGTGTCATGTGACCCCATTGTTTGATACATATATATATATATTATTAGTGCTGTCAATCGATTAAAAAAATGTACTAATTAATCGCACATTTTTCTGAAATTAATCGCGATTAATCCCACCTAACATTAAAGTTTTTTAATATACTTTTATATTGCAATAATTTCACATTCAATCTTCAAATTAATGTACAAACAACATAAAGACAGTATTTTTTTTATATTTGTTTAATTGCATCTTTTTTATGACCAGTATCCAGTATCAATGATACCAATACTGATTTCTCTATAAAATTGCCCCACCCCCAATATTTAACTATAGCCATTTAGCCATTCAACATTACAGTATAATTACGCCGGCGCCTTTGTGCGTGCAATTGAAGAGCACGCGCTGCGAGCACAGTACCGTTTCCGCGCTCGCTTGACTTGCGCCTGCCGCTGAAGTGAAATGGAGCACGCATCTGAAACGTCTCCCGTTCTCAGTCGTTCTGCCACTGAATAAATGCACTTCTTGTCAAGAGAAAAAGTGACAGAAGCAGCATTTGTGAGTGGGGTGGCCAACCCTAGCCCTGCGTTAATTTCGTTAAATATTTTTAATGCGTTAAACTGAAAAAAATTTATCGCCTGCATTAACGCGCTAATTTTGACACCACTAATATACAGTATATATATATATATATATATATATATATATAGCCGCTATTGGAGAGTTTGCTATGTTTATGTTCAAGTTCATGTTTTCAAGTCAGTCAAGTCAGTTTTATTCAAGTCTTTGTTTTGTATTGGATTCACGTTTTTGTTTAATAAACCTTAACTTGGGTTCACTCCATCTTGCTATCAGTGGACATTCATTACAGTGTATTATTGTGAACAAATCATTTTCACATTATTTTTATATATCAGGGATGGGCAACTGGCAGCCCGCAGTGTCTTTTAGTACAGTGCGCTGGATCATAGTAGACTCAGATGATCAATTTTAAAACTTATGAAAAGTTGCTTTCAGTTTATGATGTTAATACTAACTCCAACCAGTCGCTATAGTTTCCAGCCGCTCCCTGTATTAATTAGGGTTTCCGCGGGTCCTTAAAAAGTCTTCAATTTAATTGTATCACATTTAAAGCCACAAAACTCTTAAATGGTACAAGAAAGTTTTAATCATGATTTTGAGAGGTCTTTAATTTGGGGACGGAAAGACAAGAACTGCGATGTGATGGTTAAACTTCAAAAGGCTATGATTTTATTGAATAACTGCAGCGCTGCTTTGTGTACTGCTGTTACCAGGGAAACCGCTTTATTTCTGCTGTTCCGAAAGCGCCTCCTGCTGTCAGAGAATGAATTTGTATTTTCAATCAGCCTGTCTGCTGTTTTTGTTCAGACCAATGTGAAAATCAACCCATGTTTTTAAGTGTGAACCAGTGGATCGACAAGAAGCTAATGCATTATAAAAATCTAAACAATTAAGACGCTAAGATATATTTATATGTTATGTAATTCATAAAATAATTGATTGATAATAGTTGTTTAAATTAATAAAATAATTGATAATTTGACTTTCATAAAACATGTTTAAAGGCTGAAATGTGAAGTGCAGGTCTTAAAAAGGTCTTTAAAAGTCTTAAATTTGATTTTAAAAATCCTGCAGAGACCATTATATTATGGTGCCATTTGGAATAACTATTTTTTGAATAAGCAATTTTTAAACTGTCCTCTTAGGTTGTGTTGAGAATGTTCTGTAGACTGCTAATCAAAAATAGTACCTCTGTACATTTGTTTGTTGCAAATTTACAGACAATGCAATAGAGATACATTGGCTTGTTGGGGTAATATTGCTTGTCAACTGACAACAAAATTTCCTATTTTAATTAGCATAACTGCACAAGTTTTATAGTTAATAAAATCTTTTAAAAAAATTAATTATAGTTTGATTTCCTTCAATAAAAAGGAAATTGTGTAAGACGTGATGTGGATTAGTGATCTGGCCCCTTGGTATAAAGGAGAAAAAGTGCTGGCCTTCTATCTCTCTCTCTCTATATATATGTAAATTTGTTAAAATAATTAAATAATTTAAATGAAAATTTTTAATAATTTACAATATATTTATCTATCTATCTACCTATCAGTCTACCTATGGGCCAGAGGAAAATAAGGGGGTTTTCAAGCATCAAAACAATAAAAGTTTAATACAGTTTAAATGTATTTATTTTTTCTCTGTATACTAGATTGTGTCGTATTAAACTCAAACAATTTTCACAATTGATTTTTGAGCAAAAAAAATTACAACTGTTATACATTTGACCATGATTTACAGAAGACACCCACTAAAATATCATTTAGTGTAACAATAGTTCATATACCAAAAAATCTTATCTTATCTAATTAAATTTTTTTAATCTTAAAAAAAAGGATCACAGTTCAGCCCCCAAATACTAATTAATTGTAATTTTAAACCAACTTTACCAATCTTTGCCAGTATCCTTCAAACCACTAAATTTTACGCATTTGTCAGCAAGAAGTGTTTAATTATTTAAAATATAATAAAATTTAGTATGATCTCTTTTTCTTTTATATATTTTAAAGGGGTCATCGGGGCATAGAGGACCTACAATAATGTACAGTATTTGAAAAATAATGTGTTTTTTGAACATTAAAGCATGTCAACATATTCTGTTACACCAAATACACAAAATAATGATCTTTAAAATAGCATCATATGACCCCTTTAATAAGTACATGTTAGCATAAGTACATTGTTCCAATTTTTACATAAATATATCTGTTACACTGAATGGTAATGGACCATTATTTCATGATATGGGTCTCGTGGGACCTGTTTAGTTTCTTCACAATTCTTAGTTATATGCCATAAACAATTGTCTGTAGATTTCCTTCATCCTAGCAAGTCAGTGTTAATGTGATATGCTTGCCAACAATCTTTCCAGTAGTGATGTGTTAGAACTCTCGCCAGCACATGATGTGCATTCTGATATGATGGTCTGTGGCTCATTGTGGTTGCTGTTCCAGAGCAGGCTTCATCCTGTTGTTGAACATTTGTTTAAATGGCACAAAACATGATGAGTAGATGCTCACCCTACGGTGATGTCTGCTAAATGACACCACTGCAATTTAACGCAGGTTAACTGAGGCCAGAGGACCCTGCAAGGCAACTGTTAACCCTGCATTATACTGCATGCAGCAAACTAACCATTGCCTCTGTTGCCATGGCTACCCGCAGCAGGTTGCCAAGCGAGGACGGCTCTGTTTCGAGCAATGAATCTGGGAAGCTGAACACGGGCAGAAGCTCCACAGCTCGGAGATCAACGGCGCAGAAAGCACCCAAAGAAGAGCAACACACAAGAAATGGTGAGAAAGACAGAAATGAAAGGAGCAACACAATTCACATTCCTTAGGATCATAACCCATTTATGAAACCCATAATTACAATCAGGAACGCTGGATCTAGTTAATCGATTTAAAAAAAAAATATTTACGTTTTTAATTTCTGAAATAAAGTATTTTTTGTCGTTTTCCAGTTAAAAAAAATTTAAATATAATTAAAAATTTACTTTAAAAGTAAAATTGCATAAGATATTATCTTAATTTTTATTTTAAGAAAAATTAAGATTATAAGATTAGTAAAAAAATATATCTTATATATTTATAACTTTAGAGAACTTAAATAGTAAACATTTGTAAGTGTTAAAAATGATTATACATTTTTAACACAGATTATTATATTATATTGTATTATATTATTTAATTTTTGTGGAAACTGTGATACATTCTTTGATGAATAGAATATTAAAAAACAGCATTACTTGAGATATAAATATTTGTAAACATTATAAATCATTTACTTATTATTTTTGATCAATTTAATGCGTCCTTGCTGGATAAATGTGTTATTTCTTTAAAAATATATATAATTAAATATGTATATAATTTATAAAATGTTTGTGCTTTTGCATAGAGATTATATAATATTATATTATATTATATTAATACTAAATTTTTTGCTAAAAACCAAAAGTTTTGCCACTGATGTAAGAAAATTAAATAAAAAATTTTATTTATATTTATAATAAATGTTACAATAAATATTTTTACTGAACATAAAAAAACTGGTTTTGTTTTGTTTTGAAAAAAAAAAAAGTGTTTAAACACTAGAACATAATGTTAAGAAACATCAGTTCTGTAACTGGATCTGTAACAAGTTTTTATAAGTATTTAGTTCTCATAAATGTTTTATGAGGGTACTGAAAGTCTTAAAACAACGACACAGTAATATTATTCTCATTCTGATTTTTTTTATATACAGGAGCTTTGCCATCTAAGATATCTCACACACCATTAAACCCCCAAACCCTATAAATAAGTGATTGCTCAGTATATTGTGGACCAGTGTCTAGTGTCAGACTCTGTTTTTGAGTATTTACTGCTTCTCTTTGCTGATCCCCTTTTTACCCTCCTACTGTAATTTTATGACTGCATGAGTCTCCTGTGTCTGTTTGCAGACCATTATGAGTCTCTAACTGGCTCTCTACGCCTCATCACCATCAAGCCTATGGCTGCCCCACTCAACTATTCCTATCCTGACTCCTCCAATCACAGCCAAGACTCTGTCATCCTGAACGGAGAGGTGAGCTTGCTGTCATTATGGAGAGGGGCCACCTCATTAGGAGGTTTTTATCATTGATTTATTTTTACCTGTTTTGAGTGCTTGTCAACTTACTGGGCACCACACAGAATATGTTCCGCAAAATTTTCCTCTAGATCAGCAAAAAAGATTCTATGTAGACTCACTTACGGTCAGCCGAGGAGCACTAAATTGGAGTAAATAAATAACATCAGATTTTCACCTGCAGGTCAACATGGGGCTGAAGCAGAAGTCGGACATCGAGCATTACCGGAATAAGCTGAGGTTAAAAGCTAAAAGGAAAGGTTACAGTGACGGGCCGGTCACTAGCAGCAGCGGGAGCGGGAGTGGCAGCGGACACATGTACAGCCATCGAGACCGGCTGAGGTGTGAGAATGCTTCCCTGGACCTGGAAGATCTGAGGGGGCCGAAGGAGGACAGGAAACCCTCCACTTACGTAAAGTACCGTAGGAGGTAGTCGGAGATTAAATCCCTGCTTTTAATAGTCATCCCAAAATATGTTGAGAAAATGAAGCCAATTGCGTTTTCCTAGATACAGAGTAAAAAAGGCAAATGAAAGGTGGAATTGATTCAGATGTAGTGTATATGTGCTAAAATCATGGGGTGAATTTACTGAACAGATAAGACACTTTTGCAATAATATAATATAACATAATATTGTTAATAGTGTTGTCTATTTACACACAGTGTACATTAAAAACATAAGTAAATATAAGCAATTCTTTTATAATAATTTCTCAAATAAAATGGCGCTAAATAAATTTAGCATGCTTTGTTTTTTATTTTATGAAAAACTTATACATTCATATTTATTTTTTGTTTTTGAAGGAAGTTTCTTATGCTTACCAAGGCTGCATTTGTTTGATAAAGAATATAGTAAAAATAGCAATATTGTGAAATTTCAATTAATTTAGAATTTACAGTAACTTTTTTTCTATTTAAATATATTTTAAATTGTCATTTATTCCTGTGATGGAAAAAGCTGAATTTTCAGCATCATTACTCCAGTCTTCAGTGTTACATGATCCTTCAGAAATCATTCTAATATGCTGATTTGCTGCTCAATAAATATTAATATTACTGTCAATGTTGAAAACAGCTGTGCTGCTTAATATTTTTGTGATCTTTTTTTTTTCAGGATTGTTTGATCAACAGAAAGTTAAAAAAATATATTTTAAATGGAAATCTTTTGTAACATTATAAATGTCTTTACTGTAACTTTTGATCAATTTTAATTTTAATTAAAATTATTAATTTCTATTCATTTCTTTAAAAAAAAAATCTTACTGACTCCATATTTTTGAACAATAGTGTATATATAAGTTTTTCTACAATGTTTGTGCCTTTGCATAATTCCTTTTATTAAATTGTGTGCTAAAATAACAGTTCATGCAAATAAACAACACTATTCATTCTTAGTAAACTCTCCCCAGGGCATGAATAAAGAGCTCTTTAATGAGCTGAAATGCTCTTCTCCAGTGTTTGGAAATCAATATTTCAGTGTGTATAAGAATAAAAATAAATCATAATGTAAAATTAACCATGACTGCAATAACCAAGTTGGTTCATGAGACAATACTGAACTTTTCAACCATTCTTTCAACAGTGATTCCCACAGGGAACCTGCATATTGGAGCAGGCAGTCTCTGAACACCCCGAGCCCTGTAGAGACAGAGATGGACATGCTGGTCATGAGGGAGAGATCTGGGAGGGGCATCCGCAACAGCGGCTACGATGTAAGTGCTGCCAGCCTCTTGCATCATGGGATCCCCAATATCCCTGCTATAAAGGCCCTGTCCCAAATGGCACCCTAAACCCTCACGGTCTTCCTCAGAGTCAGCACTTTCGTGACATAATGCCACTTTGACTGCTGGGTAGAAGTCGGCTGCGTAGCTCGCAGGCTTGCGGGCTCAGCAGAAGTGAGCATGGAGGGCACATAGCGGCCGCAAAGAGTGCGCTCGCGAGCACCCTTCTGAACGCTAAAATGACGAATGGGACACCCTACGGTCTCGTGGACTTAACGGACACGCGCACGTAGCGGCCATTGTAAGTCCTCAAGACCGAAAGTGCACATGAAGTGTGCCATTTGGGACAGGGCCAAAGTCTTCTGCTGTAGTCTTTCCACACAGCGCATGTCATTCACAGTTCAAGGAGCCGGCAGAGATTCTTTTCACTTTAGTAATGACTATCAGCTCAAGTTTGCTTTGAGGCTTAAATGAAGGCGATTACCTTTAGCTCTAACTTTAAGTCCAGTTTATGACGGTAGAGAGCTTGAGATGATAAATTAAGAATCTCTTACACTTGTATAAATTAAAAAATCTTATTTATTTAAATGTTTATTTAAATATTTTCATTGTTATCATTAATAGTTTTAGTTTTATCACTATTATTTCTGTAATAGTAATTGGTAAAATATTTAGTTTTCATTTGCTTATTTATTTACATTTTTATTAATACATTTTTGAATGTTAACGTTTTTATCAAATAACAGATACTTTATCCACATGTTAATAACATTTATTTATACATTTATCTTTTTTCAATAAATATATTGATTTATTTTTTTTTCTTAATAGAAATGTCAGCTTTTCAATTGATTATTGACTGTCACGTTATTGACTCACATTGCCCAAAGGGGTAGGTAAGGTAGAAATTCATTTTTAATTGATGTTTAAGGGTACAGACATTTGAGGGAAACTAAAAGATGTTGAGTATGAGTATTTGCAATGCAGGTGACCCTATGAAAATATCCAAAAGTCTTCTCTAAAAAAATGTGATTTAAAATCTTAATTAAAACTACAAATGAATAGAAAGATTCAGCACTTTGAAACATTTAAACCTGAAAATATTTGACAAAAATTAAGTAAAAATATTTAACTAATCATTTGATGATGACTCATCATTGAACCCACCTCAGGGTGAGCCCGAGCCATTTGAAGAGACAGATGTGGACCATCTTCTGAGTTCCTTGGGTTTTGGCGGTGGTCACCAGGTCAAAGGTCACTCGGACTCGTCCACCTTGAGCTCGCAGCCCTCCATCGATGAAGTGAGGCAGCAGATGCACCTCCTCTTGGACAACGCCTTTGGTTTGGCCTCTGCCGAGCCAAACCCGGGCAACCACCACCACCATCACCATCACCCTCACAGTCCGTACAACCCCAGCCACGGTAGCCGTTACCTGGATGGAGTTACCAGCGCACCTGGGACTATGAACCACCCCAGTGGAGCTCTACAGCGCGGCTCCTCCTTGGGGCCGGATATGCACCAGTGTAGCCTCCCCAAACCAGTGAGTGCCATTCTTCAACACCACTGATTCTGATTCTGATTCTGATGTTTGCAGTTAATTTGATTGTTTATATTGATTTTGGGAAAACAGCTTGAGCATATAGGGTGATATGTTGATATATGTCATCATATTAGTTTTCAGAAAGTTCATTTGGTGATTGTGCTTGGCTTTGCAGGGATTCAGGTTTACCCAGCTGCCTGATATGGGTTTGGGTTCCCCGCCACCCCTCATTCCTCCAAGAGCCCCACCTGGAACTTCACTAAGAGGGTAAGAGAAACCCTAAAATACACATTCACACTCATATTTGGATCTTGCATTATATTATATTATATTATATTATATGTGACCCTGGACCACTAAACCAGTCTTAAGTGTCAATTTTTCAAAATTGAGATTTATACATCACAAGCTAAATAAATAAGCTTTCCATTGATATATGGTTTGTTAGGATTGGAAAATATTTGGTCGAGATACAACTATTTGAATATCTGGAATCTGAGGGTGCAAAACCCCCAAAAAAAGAAGCTCTGAGAAGCTGCGCAAAACCACGTTCATATATGATCGTGGTTTTGCGCAGCTTGTCAGTGAACAACAACTCTGTGTAGTAAATGCTGCTTCATGCTTTGGCTATTGCTACAAATATACCCCAGCGACTTAAGACTGCTTTTGTGGTCCAGGGTCACATATATTTATAGCAATGTTTAAATGCATGCTACAAAATCAAGCATAAAATCAATTGAAAATATATAACTAAACTTAAATATATATTATTATATTACCTTATTATAATATATTATATTATAAATTTATAGCATTTGCACACATTGGCGCAAACTATATATATTTCTTTTGTATTTTAATTATATAGATTTATCTTTTTATGGAGTATTTTATATTAAATATATACTTCTCTAAAATGGTGAGAGAAACCTTAAAATACACATGCATACTCATATTTGGATCGTCCATTTTATTTTGTTGTGGTTTAGTGTGGTTTTGTATCATATCTTTACCCAAAAGATACAAATTATATGTATCCTTTTATGGCAGTCCAAATGTGTCAGTGATCATTTGAAAAAAATGATGAATCAAATTTAGAAATGAACTTATCAATCAAGAAATCAACATTTAGCATGTAGATAAATTAAGAATTTACGATCCTAAATTTGAACAACTTAAAAATGCATTTATTAGCCATCTTGTAATGAGAAATGTATTTTCAGAATTAGAAAAACAGAATTATTTTCATTATTTTCTATTTTTATTCAGCAATATTTCTATATTAGTAATTAGTAAAATATTAAGTTACAGTTTGCTTGTTTATCTGCATTTTTTAATTAATTGCTTTTTAAATATATATAAAAATCAAATAGCAAATACTTTATCCACATGTGAATAATTACGATATATTGATTTATCTTTTTTAAAATTATATCTATTGATTTATCTTTTTTAATTCATTCTTTTTTTCTTAACTGCTTCATCAGTTTTCTGATGATTATTGACTCTCACTTTGCCCTTTAGAGGTAGATATGGTAGAAATACATTTCCAATCGATGTTTATGAACATCTGAGGCTACTGTCCCAGCGACAGGGTTTTTTGCACTTTTTTTCCCTGTCATAGCACATCATTACAGCATCACATTTATTTATATAAGCGTTTCTCCTCTGAGATGCTGTGGCTGGCATGCATTAAAGGTGTTTTGCATGGTTGTCAGTGCTGCTGACTGCATTGAGGTGTGTTATGCGGCTCTGAGGCGATGCTGGCCAGCGTTGCCCCCTGGTGGTTTGATCACATTATAACAAGACATCTTTATCTCATATTGTAGCTCCACACCAGACATGAGTCTGAAGCCTCGTGTGTCTGAGGCCTCAGAGATGAGTCAGCACAATGGCACCCCCTACCTGCCAATCAACCGAGCTCCTTTCCCTGCTGTTACCGTCGACGAGTCTATGACAAGCTACTCAGGTCAGTGCGTTTGGTAAACAGATCCGTTTTAAAGTAGAACACTAGGTTTAGCTCCTGATCCAGATGTAAGGGAAAATATAATAACAATATTGATTTTTGTACTAATATCAGATCACATATACCATGGTAATACCATAATATTTTTACATGTACATTGATAATACCAGTTGTTGGCATGTATTATGGTAAAATCAAATGTACCATGATAAAACCATTGTTTTGTTTTGTTTTTTACATGTACATTGATAATACCACTGTTTTTGGTAAAGCCTTTTTTACATGTACATGTTTTACAGTGTAAAAAAACAGTTTTGACATGTCATGCTAAGACTATCATGGTATACTTCAAAAAATGATGTTATTACCATAGTACTATAGATGTAATATATATATATAGTTTTACCATAGTACATGAAAAAACTATAGTATTACCATGATACTGATTTTTATCTGCCTTCCATTGTTTGGCAGGAAACCCAATGACAGCAGTATATGCCATATCTGCCAACCGCCCCGGCTACTCTGACTACTTCGTCCTGTCTCCACCGTCCTCCTATCGGAGCCCGTCTTGGATGTCCTACCCTCCAGAGCCAGAGGACCTTCCACGTCAGTGGAATGACACGGTAAAGGCAAGCTCTGTTTCTATTTCCAGTTCGGCCAGCGTGACTGACCCTACCTGATGACTCCTAACACATCTGGTATTGTGACCTTATTTCCTTCACATCTTGCTATCCTCAAAGAATCAACAGCCAACCATATTCATCTGGATTGTCTTTCTTGTGTCATCTTAAATGTAAATGTCATTTTCTTTCTTTTGAAAATGTCTTACAGAACCAGTGTCACCTGGAGACCATCTGCTGAATTGGAGTCCTTTCTGATGCTGCGCAGACACTGAAATTTACCAGGGTACTTTGGAGTTTTAGATTATTAACCATTTATACAGCAACATGAACTGATTATAAATAAAAAATATTTTAAAATTATTAGAAAATTAAAAATTGATTGCATACACTAATTTTCAAATGTTTGGAATAACTGAAATTGATTTTTTTTTCAAAGAAATCTCTTATGCTCATCAAGACAGCATTTATTGAATCAAAAATGAAGTACAAACAGTAATATTAATTGTAATATTATTAGAAGCCATTACTCCAGTCTTCAGTGTCTGGATCCTTCAGAAATCATTCATATATGCTGATTTGGTGCTCAGTTATTTTCCTTTATTATTGGTGCTCAATTAACAATGGTTCTTCTTATTATTTTTTTTTCAATCTTACCAGACTTTTAAATGGTAGTGCATCACAGTTTCCACAGATATATTAAAAGGAAAAAAACTGTTTTCAACATTGATAATTATAATAAATGTTTATTGAGCAGCAAATCAGCATATTACATTGATTTCTGAAGGATCATGTGACACTGAAGGCTGGAGTAATGATGCTGAAAATTCAGCTTAATTGTTTTTTTAACTGTTAATTTAATTATTTTTTAATTAAGTAAATAATTAATAAATTCTATTATAATTTCATAATTTAATTAAAATAATTAAATTATTTCTTAATTATAAGAGAAATTATTAAAGTTTTTTTTTTTTCTTTTTAAATTTTTTTATATCAAATATTTTTCCATACAAGGCTGTATTCTGTTGTTGTTGTTTTTTCTCACCCTCATGTTGTTTCAAACCTGTATTTTGGAATAGGTTTGGAATGACACGAGTATGCACTGCTATGTGGTTGTATCTTGTATCTTTCAGGGTTTGAACCACCAAAAAGAATCGTCGTCTACTCTGAAATTTCAGATTCAGCGGCCCCAACTGACCACGACGCTCGGCCGAATGGCCAACCAGACCCACAAGCCACAAACTCACCTGCCAGCCTAAGCGAGATGCAGCACCCGTTATTAATCAACATCTACAGTGAGGGTAAATCACCAAACAACCGCGCTGAACAAACAACAGGTTGCCTCACTGGCCAAAACTGAGTTTTCTTAAAGCTTTTTCAAATTTAGAAGTGTTGTATCTAATGCAGGTGGTTTTATGTGTGTTTTAAACACCCAAGTTACTAATAACGAAAAACTAAAAAAAAATTTTTTTTCCATCTTGGGCTTTCCTTGCTTCATCGATGCCTATCTGTGTCTTTTGCTCTCATTCATGCAGTTTTTAAAGAAACGGATATTATTGCAGGCAATTCGCAGGTGATTCTTTTCGTGCACTCCGTGAAGATGATAATGAAGGATGTAAAAGAAATCAAACATTTGGAGGGATGTGAGATCCTGTACTGTATTTACCGTAGTCACAATGGGGGAAAAAATAGTATACGCTTTTTCTTTCTTTTAAAAATGCCATAGTTTATGCTGTATTAAAGTGTTTCACGATGCACAACCGTTCATGAAAGGCATGAAAGGTGTTTTGAGAGTTTAGGTTTGACGTGGGAAGATAGCCATAAAGGTTTAGTGGACAAAGAGATTGATAAATGATGAATGGATGGAGGGATTCATATTTTTACTAGCGGTTTTGTAACTACTGAAAGAGTAACTATAACTACATATTTTATTGTCTTATAAAAGGTACCAAAACATATACATATATACACACATATATATATGAAATAAAATATGCAGCATACACCAAAATTGACTTGAAAATTGATTTAGAATATATCGATCATATAAAATCAAAAACTGTAGCATACTATCTTAATAAGACATAAATTCGCTATAACTACGCAAGTACGGTGTTACAGAAGTAACACTGGCATGTGTTCTTAATGAGTCTAATGCATGTAGTCTGGACATATGAATCATAAGGGCTTTGTATGTCAAGTAAGTCCCATATTTTCTTTGGGCAGTTATAGGATGGAAATCTATTGTAAAAAGGTTAATCACAGCAGAAGTATCCCATTAAATAGACACTTCCTGTCAATGTACTTTACAAACCTTTATTTTTTGGTTAAGGCCCATTTGCAGAATGAATCAAGCTACATAATTGGATTTTGAAAATTACATAGTGTATTGTGTAAATTATTACAAATGCCACTACTGTTTGATTTGTGTTTAAATGAATGTTGTCCTTTCCGTTTAACTTCGGTGGTGCAGGGGATGTGCAAATATCTATCATGTAATTGTTCCTTTTTAAAGCATTTTCTTTTCATATTTTTATATCAATTGAATCACCCTTTTTTGGCCAACAATGGAGGACATTCTGCTAAAAACTGTAAAATATTGTGCTTCAAATGTAAAAAAACAAAAAATGCCTCGTTGTGAACCTAAGTGAAACAATTGTGTAATATTCATTGTGTACATCATCATAACAAATAAGATGTTGACTTCTTTTCCTACTTATACAACACTAAACAACTCCATATTTGCCAGATGTACTGTATATTTTCCTGTAAAAAAAAATCACTTTAAATGTTCTACTTGTTATTTTCTTTTCTTCTTGATTATTTTATTTTGCATAATGTAAAATAATCATTATAATGGTTTAACGCTTTGAAGGACTCATTTTTTGTGGGTTACACACTGAATCAAATCTAATAAAAACTAAGAAGCATTTGATTATTTAAAAATGATAAAATGGCTTAATATTGTGTTTAATGTCTTTTCTCCCTTATTGTCCATATTAATCTTATTTTAGCTTTTGTACTTCAACCTTGCTAGCCTAGCTTTGCTGAGCTTGTCATATCATGTCCACTAGATGGCAGCACTCCCCTTTATTTTAGTTCTCCAAGACGGCAAGCAAAACTTCCTCTGCTACAAAATCATTCCTGGCAATTGATGGAGCGGCTTTTATTCACTTTGTAAAATCCATTATGTCCCTTAACTCTAGTTTAAGTACATTTCGAGCCGTATTTTCTGCTTTGGATATTAAGGTGCCACCCCTTGTTTCTATACCCTTCCCTTGAGGGGATCCGTTCACTCACATCTCTATCTGCCAAGCAGGTGTTTTTATGGGCCTGACTTGTCGACTGGCCGGAGGGGAGGCTGTCAGACCGGCTGAGGTGAGTTTCTCTAACGACACAGGATGCTGCCGGAGGGTAACACTGGCCTGTCCACTTCGATCTGGTCTGTGGCCCTTTATCTGTGACAGCAAAGCCATTCAGAACCACATGAGTCGCATCAATCACTGCAGGGACGAGGCTTCTGTCTTTCAGATGTCTGGCAGCATTTAAAGCGCTAATCACCGCTCTCCTTATACTGCAGGTAAAGCTACATAGAGTAAATGGAGTTTTGGTCATAATTCACAGCTGGCAATCTTTCAGTTTAATGCAAGCGGCAACCTCCCGCTCTCCCTCGTGAAGCCAACAAGGAAGTGACTTAAACTGTAATTCATCAACTGGCCGCTAGAGGCTGGCTGCAAAAGGGAGTCAATCCCATAGACTCCCCATGTTAAAATGCCCAATTTTACAGCAGGAAAAAAACGTTTACAGCCTGGTTCAAAAAATGATTTTGGTCTATATAGCTAATTTTGCCCTTCATGACAACTGTGAGGGGGGTGAATTTTTTATAACTCATCCGTTTAAATTATATTAAGTCTTAAAGTTCTGCATAATTAAGGGCGTGGCCACTTGAGTGACAGGTGGATTGCCGCTGCTGTCACCACCGTCGAGCTAGGTG